GGCAATTTATTAATATTAGGAAAACTTTCATTATGAAAAATAGGTAATGATCTTAATGGTACTTTCCATCGAACACTTAATAAACGACTTTTATGATCAAATAATGGTAATTTAGTCCAAGCATTTGTACGTAATGGTTCATTTGGATTTTGTTTGTTTGTTGTTTGTACTTCAATAACAATTGATAATGCTTGTTGTGGTGGACAACTAACAAATGGAAAAATCAATTAATAAATAAACATAAACAAAATAAAATATTAATTCTTTATTAATAAAACCTTGGTACAGGTTGTCTAGTAGCAAGTAAAGCAATACCCATTTGTTCACCGGATATTTGATTAATATATAATTCACAATTGAATGTTTCTAAATGTGATGGTTCACCAAGACCTGATTTTGCATGATGAAGACATGTTATTAATCGACATTTTTCAATTGTTGGATGAAAATTAGTAATAAAATCAAAAAGTATTACAAAACCAGCAACTGCATCATATGTTTGTGGATCTAATGGATCCAATACTTTATTCATATTTGAATTCGGATGATTTACTGGTTGATTTCCACGTAATGTCATACCATTATCAAGTAAAGGTAATGATGATTGAAGAAAATATCGACGTTGATCAAATGGATCATTATCTGAATTCGTATAAATTTGACGAGCAGATGTTTGATTTAAAGAATTTTTTGGTTGATAAAGATCAATTGTTGATGATGAATAAATATGATTATTTTTATTTGATTTAGGATCAAGTATTCCACTCGTTGCTAAAGATAATTCTAATTGTCGAGTACCTTACACAAAAAAAAAAAAAACGTTAAAAAGTTTGTTTTTTTTTAAAGAAAAAAGTAAAATGAAAAAATACGTGAATCAAGTTTTTGAAATTTACGTTGCATATCATTCACTTCATTTTGAAGACGTTCTTTTTCATTATTAGCTAATGTTAATTTATTAGTTGTAGATTCAATTGGATAAATTGGACGATCTAGAAATAAAAATAATCAAACAAACAAACAAAAAGAAAACTAATAACTAATTTGAATACATCGATATTGTTTTAATGGTTCAGGATAATCTTTCATCCATGGATAATATTCATAATAACGTAATCTATGTTCAAGATCATTATATTGTGCAAGAATATTAGAATCTTGACCACCCGATTGTAAACATACATTACGTAAAGATCTTTAATAATAAAAATAATTCAAAATTTCAACAGTTATTCATATTATATGTTTACCTGACTTCATCATTTATTGTCCGTTGAGCAGAATTAATATATGGTAAAGATGGACTATCATTTGAACTTAATAATGAACTACAAAAATAAAAATAAAAAAGTTCTTTTATTCTATTTAGAATAGGAATACCTATTATTATGCATCAGACGTCTTCGTAAATATATTAAAGCTTTTTCATTTTGATCTTGTTGTTCTTTCATATCACTTAATAATTTATGTGATTCATGATTGGGTATCATTGATAATTGAGTATCACGAGCGATAAATTCTTCAAGTTTACTTTGAATTACTTTGTAAAAAAAAAAAGAAAAGAATTTTTCATTAAGTCTTGTTTTTTTTTTTTTCTATAATTTAGATTAGATTAAAAATTTACTTTGACGTT